ACATCTTGTGGGGCCAGAAAACAAGGAAGCACTAAAAAATATGTAGGGGGTGATGGTATGATTTGGGAACAGATAAAGGTGATGGTTGAACAACATAATGATGTGACTAAACTATATATGAGAAGAATGTTGCAATGGGAAATGTTTTGTTACATATACATTAACTATAATTTTAAAAAAAAGTTGGGGGGCATGCCAAAGCAACACAGGGGCCAAGCTGAAGGAGACTGTAACAGCTGAAGATGAAACAAACTGAATAACAAAATAAATTATGAGAGTATTGGATTATAACATACAGAATAAAACAAATATCCATGAGTCCATACTGATAAATAAACAATTGAATAAATAATGGAGAAGCAATAACCCTTTCATACAGAAGAATTCCAATTAATAAATTTTAAGGAATGAGAGAAATAGAAAATTATCATTAGCAAACATCATATCAATAATGTTGCAGGTAAGATCCACCAATAGATACCAAAATCACTGGGCAAAAGTTTGGAGAGAAACAATAGTAGCATAGACTTGAAACATCTCCCCCAAGGGAAAAAAACTAACTTTGAGTGGAGAAACCTGCAGACACCACCTTAACCAAGTGATCGAGGTTAGCATCACCTTACCAACACCACGCACTCCTAATATGCTGCACTGAGAAGGACATAACATCACTTCTGTGATATTTTTGGCAAAAAAACACACAATCTAATCATGAAATCTAATCATGAAAAAACATCAGACAAGCCCCAACTAAGGCACATCCTACAAAACTAGCCAGTACTTATCAAAAATGTCAAGGTCATTTCAACCAGGAAAGGAGAAACTGTCGCAGATTGAACCAGAAGGCTGGAGGTTCAAACCCACCAGCCACTCCTCGGAAGGAAGATGGTGCAATCTACTTCCATAGTGATACTGCCTCGGAAACCCAAGGAGGGGTCGCTATGAGTGGGGTCTGACTCGAGGGTACATAACAACAACAACAACAACAAGGAGACATGACAAATAAACACAAAGTGTGATCCTGGATTAGATCCTGGAGCAGAAAAAAGACATTAGAAGGAAAACTGGTAATACTCAAATAAAGTCTAAAGTTTAATGAGTGACGCTGCTATGGAAGATCTTCACTCTGTGACACTCTTTACCTGTTATATTTTCTAAACGGAAAACATACTACTTTTACTATGTTGTTGTTGTTGTTATGTGCTGTCGAGTCGGCCCCGACTCATAGCAACCCCTCCTTGGGTTTCCGAGGCAGTATCACTACAGACGTAGATTGCCCCATCTTCTTTCCAAGGAGTGGCTGGTGGGTTTGAACCACCAGACTCCTGGTTAGCAGTCAAGTGCCTTAGGCACTATAGGACATATTATTTGTTCTCTGTTCTCTATTAAAGGTAGTTAACCTTTTCCTTTCTATCACGTCTATTTATGCAAAATTATCTCAGAAAATGCGATCATAAAAGGGTGGTAAGTGGCAACTTACTTACTGCTTATTTTGCTTCCCATGCCTGCCACAACTCTTGCTTTTAGCATTCTCCCTAGCATCACAGCACTCATCACATGAAAAAGGTACGGACACCGTGATTACTATGTGAAAAAAGCTCATTGGTCAAGGGCTCTGTTAGTCATGGGTCCTACTGTGTTATAGAAATAGAAATATGGGTGGTTTTCCTCCTAAAATTCCAAATAAGGTTTAACAATAAAAACATATATATAAAATGAGGTACAGCACACATTCACCTGATGACTCAACAATTCCACTTCTGCGTACCCAAGAGAAAAAAGAGAAATCTGTCCATGATCTATGCAGCACTAGGAATCTCAAAATCACTGCATTGAACAAAAAAGCCAGACCCACGAGTGTACACTGTATGAGTTCATTTCCATGAAGTTATAGAACAGACAAAACCAATCTATGCTAAAAGCAATCAGAACAGTGGTTGGGGGTTGGGGAGGACTGCCTGGCAAGGGAAACAAGGGAATCTTCTGGGATGAGAATGCTGAGAGAAATTCTCTGTATCTTGATCAGCTTGATAGTTGCATGAGTATATGTATTTGTCAAAACTGATCAAATATATATCTTATTATATATTTTACTGTATGTAAGTTATGCCTCAATTTAAAAGAAAGAGTTTGATGAGGAAAAAATGTAGCATCAGGTTTCATTTTTGAGTCATAATCATCTCGTGAATAAAATGTGAGAGTATTGGGGGTTAAAAAAAAATCAACGTCTGAAATCCAGTTAGTCTGATGATCTTGTTGCTGCTTAGGTGGAAGGAACTGTGGGGATCTGCCTTGCCTGCATTCTTCGAAAAGAATCAATCATTCCTTTCCAAATCCTCCTAGGTATGAGCCAAAAGAAAGCAAACTTCACGCTATTCTCTCATCTTCTTTTCAATCGTAGATCTATGAAACTCCTTATAGAAGTCTGTGATGTGTTTCCTTCAGAACAATGGTCCTTAAGCATTCTGAGGTTACAAATTCTTTTGAGACATCTGATAAAAGTCACTGACCATAACTCTTCATCTCAGTAAAATGCAGTGGCTTCATCTAGTTCTCTGTTAGACCCTCATATGTTTAAACTTTGAGAAAAGCAAAGAACCATATGTGATGGAATTGCAAGCAGAAGTAGAAACTCAAGGCTTGCAAGAAGTCAGGCAGAGGGTAGAAGCTTCAGCCTACCTGCCTTGGAAACATCCCACCTTATCCCCAGGCCTTGCAGCTATCAGCACACTCAGCAGCCCAGGCTGTTTCCACCTGTCCACCTCGACAGAACCAGGAGGCACCAGCACTACCCACAGGTTTACCTCATGCTGGGGATGGCATGGTAGCCCAACCGAAACCGGATTCTGCTGGAGCCGGCACAATCTGCAATCACTTCTTCCCCCACAGCGTGCATGTGTTTGAGGAGCTCAAGGTGTTCCCGGGTCACAGCCTTCAGACTAGAAATGGAGGCCCATGGTAAGACCAGCCAGTGGTGACGGGCCTTGGGATATTTATCCTTAATCACCACCACCTGTTCATCTTTGTAAACCTGGCAGAGAGGCACAGAGAAGGAAACATCTCAGTATCTTCTGTGTGCCAGGTGCTATTATATTCATTAATTCATTAACTTTCCATCACAATCTTGTGTAAACGGTCTAATTTATCCCAATATTCGTAGATGACAGCACTAAGACTCACTAGGATAAATTGAATGTCTTACACAAAATCACATAGTTACCAAGTGGGAAATCTAGGACTCAAAGCCAGATCTAGTTGACTCAGAGTCAGTGCTCTCAACCACCGTACTACATAGAATACACAGAAGATGCAGGATACAAGAGTTTCATGGTTGTTGTTGTCGTTGTTATGTGCCGTCGAGTCAGATCCAACTCATAGCAACCCCTCCTTGGGTTTCCGAGGCTGTATCACTACGGAAGTAGATTGCCCCATCTTCCTTCTGAGGAGTGGCTGGTGGGTTTGAACTGCCAGCCTTCTGGTTAGCAGTCAAGTGCCTTAGGC